CCGCCTGCCTTTGCCTCCCGAGTGCTGGGATTAAAGGCATGCGCCACCAACGCCCAGCTGACAGATGACATTTTTAAACCTCAACAATTTTGCCCAAATTCAGAATATCCGAAAGGAAGTCATCTAGACTGGTTGCTTTCTTCCCCTTCTGCTGTTGTCTGTCCTGTTTCCCCTCACAGGCATTCCTCAGTGCTGATCTGCCTTCTGCTCCATTATTCTACAGTAGTGCACACTTATCATTCACGCTGAGATTTCCTTAATTGCAGGCATTATTTGGTTTACCCTTTGCTTCTGCACTCCCACACCTCTGTGTGGACCAGAACTGTCTATAAAGAAAGTAAGCATTTATCTGTTCAGTTAAAATAGTGAGAAACAAAAGGGTTTAATTCTCCATCCTTTGCAGGAAGAAGTTCTAAAGGACTTTGAGGAATTGGCTGGAAAGCTCCCATGGTCTGACCCTTTAAAAGTCTGGCAAATTAACACCAGTTTCAAGAAGAAGAAAGCAAAACGCAGAAAGGCAAATCAGAGTGCAGGTAAAGAGAAGGACAACTGTGGACAAGGAGACAAAGCAGAAGAGAAAAGCAGTAAGACGCTTGTCAGCAACACTTCAGAATCACGGATCTTGGACTATTATGAAAATCCAGCCATCAAAGAAGAAGTATCAACTTTAGTGGGGGATGTCTTGGCATGTTGCAGAGATGAGACTGGTGAAAGTCTGAGAGAAGAAACTGAACCACAAGTACAAAAGTTTAGAGTCACCTGCAACAGAGCAGGAGAGAAACATTGCTTTACCTCAAATGAGGCTGCCAGGGATTTTGGGGGTTCTGTTCAAGAGTATTTTAAGTGGAAGGCTGATATGACCAACTTTGATGTAGAGGTGAGTATTAGCTTTGACTGATGATTAATGACTGGGATGGGGCTGGGAAGATGGCTCAGTGGGTGAAGTGCTTGCTGAGCAAGCATGAGAACCTGTGTTTGGATCCTTAGCGCCCACATGTAAGTTGGAAACAGATGTATGCATGTTAATCCTAGCAGTAATAGGTAGAGATAGGCAGTACCCTGGAGCTTGTTGGGCACTCCATCTGAAATAGCAAGACCCTGCCTCAAAAATAAGGTAGAACAGTAGAAAGACATTCAGTGTAAACTGGCTTCCTCATACTCATACACAAAAGAGAAAAAAAGGTTCTCATACATTTGTAGAATTTCCAGGCTAACCTAGCAAAGGTGCAGTAAAACAATTGCCATAAAGCTAGGAGGATGTAGTTAGGAATAGCATGTCCTATGGAGATAGGTGGATAGATATAGATTGAATATTTTTTACTCTGAAGCTCTAGAATTGGACAATATTATCTCTGTTTCAAATGGAGTCAATAATAGTATATACCTTGAAAGTCTATACAATGTAAGGGAAATGAAATAATGGTTTAAATTGTTTGGATAGTATGTTGTTATATGCTGAGTGCTCAATGGGTAGATGCTGTCAGAACTCAGGTAATGGTGGCATGTCCCCTAATCCACTCAGGAGGCAAATGATCTTTTGTGAGTTTGAGGCAAGCCAGGCCTACATAGTGAGTTCTGGGACAGCTAGGATTATGTAGAGATCCTGTCTTGAGAAACCCTCAGGTATCCTCTGTCTCTGAACTTGGTATAACCATGTCCAGCAGAAGAAGATGAGTCCCTTTTTTAAATTGCAGTGCTGGACTCAGACCCAGAACCTTGTACATAGTAGACTCTACTTGTAAGCTATATCTACCCAGTCTTCTAATTTCTAATCTAGTATTTTTCTACATTACGTGGACTTCCAGGTTATAAATTTAAGAAACTTATTAAATCTTAGTTGCAGAGTTCTGCTACCAAACCATAGTGGAATCTAATTTTCAGACCTTCAAGTCCGGGTTTTAGGTCTCATCCTAGTCTAGAATCAGCTCTGCTCATTTTTAAAGATGGCTAGGTTCTTAAAACCAAATGCTTCCTGTCAGCTTGATTATCCTTTGGCTACTGGGTGACAAATGTGGATAATAGTAATTAGAGTTCCTTAAATTTCTGGTGGCTTATATAGGTCCCTAGCAGTTGACATTTTTACCAAGAAATAAATTTCTGTTGCTTTTGGGATACTTAAATCTGGAGCATGCCATTTTCTTTGTAACTCTTCTTTAAAAAAAATGTCAGATAGTACAATTCCTCATATTCCCTTAGTACATATTCCTTTACACAGCTACTATGAGAGTGAATAGTCTAAAGAACAGCCATGTCCAGAAATTAGCAAGGTGACGCAGGACAAATCATGGAGCCACTGCCTTGTTAAATTGCAACTCAGGCACTTGTGTGAAGGGCATATGATCTGATATCTCTGTGTCCTAGGCTCAGAGTGGTTTATAGGAAGTGAGGCCATTCAAGTAAGATGTGTAGAGCAGGGCCTTGCATGTTAGAATGTCAGCTCTTGACTGCTTGCTGCCTTTGGTAAAGCCATGATGAGTCCATTCTGAGGGGAAGACTGGGGACAGTTTATCTTCTTAGCATATTTTTGAATTAGGAATACTAAGAAAACAGTAGTTGATAAAGCAAATATGACACAGTGTCAACTCTGGAGGAAAGGTATGTTTGAGACTCTGCTGTGGAAGTGGGCTTGTTACACTTATGCATGTTTTAACTATTTTCCCCCAAAATGTAGTAATTTAAAAAATATATGTAGTCCAAGGATGGTGTGACACATGCCTTTGACTCAGGAGGCAGAGATGGCAGATCTCTGTTATTTGAAAGCCATCCTGGTCTATAATAGTGAGTTCAGGGCCAGCTAGAGTGCATAGTGAAACCCTGTCTGGTTTTGTTGTATTGTTCTTGTTTTTTTGACTTTTTGAGACATGGTTTCTCTTTGTAACACTGGCTATGCTAGAACTCATTCTGTACACCAGGCTGACCTCAAACTCAGAGATTGGCCTGCCTCTTCCTCCAGAGTGCTGGGATTAAAGGGGTATGCCACCACTGCCCTGTCTTAACAGTAAAACACACAGGTACTCTTACATTCATATTTTAAAGCCATGCCATCAAAGTATGTTAATATAATAAAAACTGGGAGATAATCTAGTGATATCCAGCTTGTATATGCAGTGAGTGAAAAGAATAAAATATTTGAAAATTAAATAAAAATAGTTCATATACAAATATATACATATATTTCATTTTTGTGAAGTTCAAAAATGATGTAACTAATTTATAATAGTAGTAGTCAGATTAATGATCACTCTGCATGTTGACCAGGAAGGAAACAAAGGGAGCCTTCTAAAGGGTACTGTATATAGGTCAAAGATCACTGAAATATATATGTAGTTAAGGTTTACATACCTCTGGGCTCATGAAATGGCTCAGTGGATAGACAGACTTGCCACCAAGGCTGCTGACCTGAGTTCAGTTCCTAGGACACATGGTGGAAGTTGTCCTCTGATTTCCACACCCAGGCTACCTACACACACACACTCACGAATAAATAAACATAAATTTTGTACACTTTACTGTATAGTAAGCATGCAAAGTGTAACAGTCAGAAAGTTTGTGTGGGCTGGAGAGATGGCTCAGTGGTTAAAAGAACTGGCTGCTCTTTCAGAGGGTACAGGTTTAATCCCAGCACCCACATGGCAGGCAGGTCACAACTGTCTGTAACTCCAGTTCCAGAGGATCTAACACCCTTTTCTGGTCTCCATGGATACCAAGTGTGCATGTGGTACACATTCAGGCAAAATACTCATACACATAAAAAAATAAAAATTTTCTAAAAAGAAAGTTTTTGTGCATTGTGGTTATATGTGTACAAGCCATGCCTGGCTTTTCTATGGGTACTGGGGAGCCAAATTCAGGTCTTCAGTACTTGTGAGTACTTTCTCCATTGAGTTATCTCCCCAGCCCTGATTAAGAAAGTTGTTTTGTTTTATCTTAAAAATTCAAAAAGTCTTACTAAGGCAGATATATATCTCCTATTTGTGATCCTAGCATTTAAGAGGCAAAGGCAGGAGGATTTTGAGTGTCAGTCCAGCTATCTACATAAGAAATTCAAGCCAATCTTGAGTCTAGAGCCCTGTTTTATTTTATTCTTTTAAATTTATTTTGTTGTTTTGTTTTGTTTTGTTTTGAGTCAGGATCTCTTTATTTGATAGTCCTGGCTGTCCTGGAACTCACTATATAGCCCAGGCCGGCCTTGAGCTCACAGAGATCCACCCGCCTCTGCCTCATAAGTGCTGGGATTGAAGCACTTGGGAGCAGGCCCACACCCAGCTAAGGCAATGCTTTTTTTTGGAGGGGGGTTTGCATTTTTGAGATTGGGTCTCTGTATAGTCTTGGTTTCCAGGACTCACTATGTAGACCAGCCTGGCCTCAAACTCAAGAGATTCTCCTAAGGCCCTGCTTTTTAAAAAAAAAAAAAAAATCAATCTTGGTAATAAGTGCAGTTTGAATAACAATAACACCACTGTTTCTTTTGTCTGATTTGATGCAGGTTCTCTTGAACATCCATGATAATGAAGTCATTGTTGGCATTGCATTGACAGAGGAGAGTCTCCATCGCAGAAATATTACACATTTTGGACCTACAACTCTTAGGTCAACTCTTGCCTATGGGATGCTCAGGTAACAGAAGGGATTTTCTGTCCAGATTGCAATGGACACTTTGCTCTGAATCTTGCTTTAAAATACTAATTTTCTAAAAAGAAATCTTTCTTGGTTAGAATTACAAAGTTACCTATTTCCTCTTCGGTGTTCAGTGTTGTGGGTTTAGATGATGTATTAGTATTCTTGATTATAAAGTGAGGGTGGTAGTGCCATGTATATCTTCAGTGGATTGGCTGTTTCTATTGAGAAAGGATATCCTTTTTTTAGGAGACAGCCAGAATTTGCTGGGCTTTATTTTTGTACAGTGAAGCAGACAAGAGAGATCCTTGCATTGTGTAAGTGAATACAGAATTTGTACATTGAGTGAAGGTGTTGCTATGCAGCACAGGCTAACCTGGATATCTTGAGTGCTGGGATCATAGTGCACACTATCACACCCACTTACTCATATTTGTAAATGTTACACTAGCAGCAGCCCAGGGATCATCATAGGACTTTCAGAAGTACAAAGGTTGCTACCCTTTGCTGTTGTCATTTTTGTTATTAGTGTCTCCTTTCTAGTTGTGTAGTGTTCCATATAAATACAAAAGAGAAAGAAGAAAAAATTTATTCATGCTGGAGAGGTAGCTCAGAGTTTTTTTTTTGTTTGTTTGTTTGTTTGTTTGGTTTTTGGTTTTTCGAGACAGTGTTCCGCTGTAGCTTTGGAGCCTATCCTGGCACTCGCTCTGGAGACCAGGCTGGTCTTGAACGCACAGAGATCCACCTGCCTCTGGCTCCCGAGTGCTGGGATTAAAGGCATGCACCCCCAACCCCCGGCTACAACTGTCTTTAATTCTGGTTCCATACTCTCTTCTAGCCTCGATGGGTACCTGTACAGATGGGCATGTGCACATACATGTGTACATATACAGAGGGAGACAAAAATACACACACATTAGTAAAAATAAAGATATTTTGTTAAAATGTTTGTTCATGAAAACTGAATGCAGGAACATAGACAGATTGTCTTATTCTATACAGTGCCTGGCATGCCCTAATGAGTTATAGAAGTACATTTTCTTTCTAGTCCTTGATTCCTGTTTTATTCTGTCATGTGTGGGTTCAATTCCTAGCACCAATGTGGTGGCTCACAATTATTTATAACTCCAATCTAAAGGGATCTGATATCTCTTCTGGCTTCAACAGGCACTGTTATGCAGATATGCATGCAAGCAAAACCTCCATACACATAAAGGTTAAAAACTAAGAAGTGTAGAAACTAGATGGTAGAAAATTCAGGAGACTGCTTTTCTGTTTTTTGAAAGCTTATGGGCTTTGCTCAGCTCACCTTTGCTCATCGCTTCCCACCATTTAAATATATGTAGCTCTAGTAGCATGTGACTAGCTCACACAACCCAGGGTTTCTTGCTCTTTATTCCAAATTCCTAAGAGGATTTGAGTGACATATTTTGATCAAATGCCCAGTCCAGGCCCATTAGCAATGACTGATTTTACAGGCTTGCCTAAGAATCTGTCCTAGGAGGGAGATCATTAGCATGCATGGTGCAAGGTCTCAAACAACATGAAAAGATTAGAACAGACAAAGCTTAGTGACCTAAGGATTGGCACTACACAGGGGAGGTAAGTAACACATGAAGTTATTCACAGTGACCTGTAGCCCTGACTGTCACCTCTGTTTTAGGTTCTAGGAAAAATGTTTCTTTGCATGTTTATCTGTTAAATGGTAATGGGGTTGTTAGAAGGATTAATGTTATAGCAGTTATTTTATGTTAAAGATGTTATCTCTACAGTTAAGCACAAAATGAAAGGATACTGAATGTCTGGTTGTCAGCAAATGTCCACCAAAAAATCTTCCCAGCTCAGCTTCCTGAGTTCTGGGATAACAATTCTTTCTTTTTCTTTCTTTCTTTCTTTCTTTCTTTCTTTCTTTCTTTCTTTCTTTCTTTCTTTCTTTCTTTCTTCCTTCCTTCCTTTCTTTTTTTCTTTCTTTTTTTTTCTTTTCCAGCATTGAGTCTGAATCCCAAAGCCTTGTACACATAGGTGAGCACTACCAGTCCCAGGCTGACTTTCAGACTGTATCATGCCTATGTCCCTAACCTTTAGGAATCTCTATTGTGGAAGGAAGCCTCAGCTTTTGGTTGATCTCACATGTGCTGATTTGTTTTCTCCCTCCAGGCTCTGTGAACCTGAACCTACTGATGTAATAGTGGATCCAATGTGTGGAACAGGGGCAATACCAATAGAGGTAATAACACCTCTTTATTTTTACATAAGCAAGTAATAAATCATTTATTTCAAACAGCCAAGTGCCATATAACTAGATAGTGACATTTGTTTTCTGGATCCCAGAGGAGCTGAAAATGACAAACTGATAAACCCTTTTCTTTGATAAATGGATGAGTCACTAGATTGAATAGCAGAGGGTTAACTGAAGGTATCATAAACTGGAGGAAGTTGGTTTTCATCTCCATATGGTTCCTGAAGCTAACAAGTTCAGTTATGAAAAGGAGAAACCACAGTGGTGTAGCTCATTGCTGGGGTACTTGCCTGGGATGCCAGAATTCCTGGACTTGATTTCTATCTAGCACTACAAAACAAAACTGGAAACAAAACCCACCACCTATGAGCATTCTTTATATTTGTTTGTTTTGAGACAGGGTCTTATTAGGTAGCCCTGGTTGGCATTGAACTCGCAGAGATTTCCCTATCTTTTCAAGGTTACAAACTACCATATTCAGTCTTTTTACCTGTTTTCTTTTTTGTTTGTATTTTTACATGGAAAGGAAGTTTTATTGGAGGAAGGGAAAGGGAGTGGGGGAAGGGAAAGGGAGTGGGGGAAGGGAAGGGACTGGGGAGAGAAGAGACAGAGATCTGTCTGCCTCAGAGAAATGGCAGAAAAAGCTTTCTTTTTTAAAAAATTTCTTTACATGATTTAGGAAATCTGACAAATCTACATACCCAGTGACCTTAAATAATTTTCAGAATTACTACCTCATTCATAAAAACTAAAGAAGCCACTGGGCAGTGGTGGCCCATGCCTTTGATCCTAGCACTTGGGAGACAGAAGCAGGTAGATCTCTGAGTTAGAGGCTCGCCCTGGTCTACAGAGTGGTCTAGGACAGTCAGGACTACACAGAGAAACCCTGTCTCAAAAAACCAAACAAAACAAAAATACAGAAGGCAAAACAAGGATTGGGAAGATTTTTTAAATTTTATTTCATTTTAACCTTTTTTAGGTAGGGTCTTGCTATGTAGCACAGGCTGGCCCTGAATTCATGGCAGTCCTCCTGCCTCAGCCTCTCCAAATGCTGGTATTACAGACATGAGCCACCACACACAGTGGAAAAGGGATCTTGTAGGTAGAGAACTGTTGGGATTGAGTGGATTACATCACCTATATGTCTGTAATTGACTGATAGGCAGGAGCTCACAGTAAAATCACTTTGTTTTGTGTGAAACATAGTGAAATATTCCAGACTATATCAAAAGCCAGTAAAAAGAAACTGCACAGAAGTACCACAGATTGTGTTGAGTGGGGAGAAATGGGACAGATGAGCAAGCCCAAAGCAACCCACAAAGGGAAAATTAATCTAGAGTGTAATAGGAAAATCTATGGTCTGACTTTGATCAGGAGTTAAGATCCAAGAGGAAACCACATAGTCTGCACATTCCACTAGTGATGGCTGGGGAGTGACTACTGCTTGAGATCTGAACCAGAGAGCTTAGTTACAGTCAGGAGTTCTGGAAACAAAGCTGTAGTTTTCCAGCATTAAACCATGACTTTTCTATGAAATGCCAGGTAAAGTTACCATGTGTCCAGAAAGCATGCAACCGAAATAGACACCAGAGTAAAAGGGGAGAAAAAAGCACTCTGAGCCATTTCCATGTAAAAATTGGCATGAGAGAACCATTGTAGAAACGTTAGCTGAGAAATGGAAATTGTGAAGAGTTGCTAGATATCTGTGAACACATGTGTCCACTAAAGTATCAAATACGTGGCCTGGAATGCTCTGAGATTTAGAAGTGATGAGACCTGAGGTAGGAAATCCAAATTGGATTAAAAGTTTAAAAGAAAAAATGGGTGGCAAAGATTGTTACCCAATTGAGCCCCAAGTCCAGTGGGTGAGAATCACCTGAGACTTTTTACTCTGGGTTTCTTCTGTATCCCTGCCCACCCACTTTTGGCATACAGTAACATTGCTTTTGTTTGCAGTCACTGTAGAATAATAGCTAGAATATGTCAGCACCCTCAAGGGTCTGGACAAAATACAGTGATGAAGTGCTGTATTCATGCATACATGTCTTCATGGCAAAAGCTGTACCATAGAATGTTGTGTCACCTCATTTCACAAGCATCTCACTGCTTGGCATTTATATTATGCTAAATTTTTTTTTTAAACTACAAAATCCTCTCAGATATATGGTGGTAATCTTTTAAAAGCTAAACTCTCAGCTGGGCATTTGAGGCACATGCCTTTAATCCCAGCACTCTGGAGGCAGAGGCAGGTAGATCTCTGTGAATTCTAGACCATCCTGGTCTACAAGAGCTAGTTCCAGGACAGCCTCCAAAGCCGCAGAGAAACCCTGTCTCGAAAAACCAAAAAAAAAAAAAAAGCTAAACTCACAATCCAAGAGTATAGGTATGGTCAGTTTGCTTATTTGGTAGGGGAGGTGCTTTGTTTTGTTTCTCTGAGACAAGGTTTCTCTATATAACAGTTCTGGCTGTCCTGGCACTTGCTCTGTAAACCAGGCTGGCCTCAAAGTCACAGAGATCTGCCTGCCTCTGCCTCCTGAATGTTGAGATTAAAGGCATGCACCATCACTGCCCCCGAAGTTTGGTTAATTTTTTTAAAATCTTGTTTATTTAGGGGATGTAGTCTCTTGATGTTGATGTCACAGTAGATGGCATTGGAGCCACATCTCCAGTGAGTGAAAATTCACCAGGCAGAAAAAGAACAGGGAGGTCATTTCTGTTAAAGAAATAAATGGCACAGGGCAACATGTTGTTGAAAATTGACCATAATGACTTACTTTTAATTGTCTCTTGTGGCATATTTAACTAACATTCTTGTTTCATAGGGGGCTACTGAGTGGTCTCACTGTTATCATATTGCTGGGGACAACAACCCCCTGGCAGTGAACAGAGCAGCAAACAACATCCTATCTCTATTGACTAAGAGCCAGATTAAAGATGGGTAAGTTTAACTTCAAGACTGCATTGTATTTTTGCAAGTCACTTTCCATACATCTTTATAACCAAACGAGCAGTGTAAAGAAGACACCATCCAGCTTATTGGAAATCATTTATAATTTATAATTAAACTGCAATTTTCATGCTTATTGCAATTTTATTTCTATTTTTTGTTCATTATTCATGCGTCCTTTCCCCAAACAGTATGGTATAGTATAGGTTTATTTATTTTGAAAAGGCCATATCCTATAACTGGGTCTCACCTTGAACTCACTGTATTGTGCAGCTGACCTCAGGCTCACAGTGATTTTTCTGCCTGCCTTCACATCCCAAGACTGGGACTGTAGACATGAGCTACCAGATTCAACTGTTTACATTTGCCGTACATGGCTAGATTCATTTTAATGCCGAAAACTTGAAAATACTTTAAATATTTTTACATATTTACATGCAATAATTCACACAGCATTCCATCATGCAGAACTACTACTATTTACTTATTTAGCTCTTTTCTAAAATGATGTGCGTTGAGCTAGGGTGTGGTGACACACGCCTTTATTCCCAGCACTTGGGAGGCAGAGGCGGGTGGATCTGTGACTTCCGAGGCTAGCCTGGTCTACAGAGTGAGTACCAGGAGAGCAGGACTACAGAGAAAACCTGTCTGGAAAATAAAATAAAATGAAAATGTGACTTGAAAGAAGCATGAAAGCCATCCCTGTAAATTCTAAATTACCAGTGTTCTTGACTTGGGGCCCTGGCCTGTGAAATCCTCAGATCACTTTGCCTCTGAAGCCATTTGGATTGGTCTTTTAGTTTATTTGTTTATGTGTATGGGCTTGAGATTGTCATGAAGCTGTGCTATGTTGTGGAAGTCAGACATAACTTGTGGAACGTTGTTCTGTTCTTCCTCCTGTGGGTCCGGGAATCAAACTTCCATTTGTTGGGCTTAGTGGCTGATACCTTTGCCAGCTAGGCCATTCCTTTGGCCTTTTAAACATTTTTTTTTAACATGTAAATTCATTTCCCCTGCTGCTTTTTAAAATTGTGTAAAACCATACATCCCTTGAAAACCAATCTTTGTTTTTTTAAAATTTACTTTTTTTTAATGTTTTTGTTGTTTTTTGAGACAAGGTTTCTCTGTGTATCAAACAGACCTGGTTGTCCTGGAACTCGCTCCATAGACCAGGCTGGCCTTGAGCTCACAGAGATCCCTCTGCCTCCTAGGTGCTGGGATCAAAGGCATGTGCCACCACTGCCCGGCTTGAGAACCAATCTCAACCATATAAAAAATTTGTTTTCCAGTTATGGCAATATTTCTTTTTAAATTAACCTAACATTTCTTTTTGGAAAAAATGATCTTTAAAAATTAATACTGCAGAATGTTTTTTGTTTTGTTTTTTTACATTTATTTGTGGGTGGGCACAAGAGTGGGAAGTTAGAGGTCAAACTGAAGGATTTAGTTCTCTTCTTCAACCATGTGGGCCCCAGGAATCAAGTTCAGGTCGTCAGGCTTAATGGCAAGTGCCTTTATCTGCTATGCCATCTCAATAGCCTGGGAGAATATATTGAAGTATCTTTCCTTTGTTTCCACAGAAAAACATCCTGGGGGTTGCCTATTGATGCTGTTCAGTGGGATATCTGCAACCTCCCACTGAGAACTGCTTCTGTGGATATTATTGTAACAGATATGCCTTTTGGAAAAAGGTAGAATTGATTTTTTTCTCTTTTAAATGGAGTTTGTTTTCTCAGTTAGAAAGTTGTACCATAATCCATTTCATCCTTTGTGCCATTACGTTTTCATGATCCTAGTCTACATTATAGGCTGAGGAGCACTTGCTTCTTAGGCCAGATTTCTCTACTCAGTGGTTTGGCTCATGTAATTTGCTTGTTGTCTTCATTGAGGTTAAGTTATAGGTGTAAAAAAAGAACAAAGTGTGCTTGGGAAGCAGAGGCAGGTGGATCTGGAGTTTGAGGACAGCCTGGTCTACAAAGTGAGTTCCAGGACCAGAGCTGTTTGACAGAGAAACCTTGTCTCAAAAACCAAAAAATGTTTTGATAGAAAACTGTGAACACTTGACTAACATAGCTTCCTTTATTGGCATAGAATTCAAAACTCTGGTCTCTAAAAGATAACTTCTTCATCCATTGGATTTTGTTTTTGTCTCATGCAAGAAACTACCTACTCACCTTTTGCAACAGTTTTATACTTGACCTTCTTTTGTAGGATGGGCTCCAAGAAGAGAAACTGGAATCTATATCCAGCCTCCCTTCGGGAAATGGGCCGTGTCTGTAGACCAGGGACGGGCAGAGCTGTACTGCTTACTCAGGACAAGAAATGTTTTACCAAGGTACTGAACATGAGAGTTAAAATCTCAGCTTAAGGCAACTTGAAGATTCTTAAAAGAAGGCTTGGGCCCTAGTGCCAGGGGGGTAGGGGCACAGCTAGCCGGGCATATAGGTGGAGTTCCAGAGCTTTGCTGGTCAGCCATTGTAGCCATCCAGTGAGTTTCTGGGTTCAATGAAACCCTTCCTTACTTTACACACACACACTCACCTGCCTGTATGTGCAACACATTGTGCCTGTTGCCCTCACAGGACAGAAGAGGGTATTGTATGGACCCCCTAGGATCAGAGCTATAGATAGTTGTAAGCTATCATGAGGGTGCCATAAACTGAATCCAGATCCTCTGGAAGAACAGCAGTGCTCTTAACTTCTGAGCCAACTCTCCAATCCACCACCCATAACATTTCTAAAGTGGCAGATTCCAGGTTGGTTTAAAAGCAGACTGGCAGCCTAATGACTTTTGCCTTTTGTGTACCAGGCATTATCTGGAATGGGACATGTGTGGCGAAAAGTCCATACAGTCTGGGTGAACATCGGGGGCCTTCATGCTGCAGTTTATCTTCTAAAACGCACGTCTCAAGCCTTTGTTCATCCTTCAGAACAAGATGGAGGAAGACACCCTCCTTGGTAAAGCAAAGAATGAAAAGAAGTATAGTATTTGTAGATGCTAACACTGGACATGTCAGCATAAAGAACTTGCTTTTGGGAGGAAAATAGCAGAAAAGTAACTTAGTATTGCAGTCTACCCTGCTAACTACTCCAGCATATGTTATTGTTAGCAAGGTGACTTATGGTATTTCCTCAGAAGCTTCATTGCTTGGCTTCTAGGTTTGGGAACACTACAGGCCACGTTCTGTCACTGTTCAGTAGCCTAAGTTCTTTCCATCACCCACAGAAACTAAAGCATCCCTCGAGATCTATAGCTTACCATCTGCCTTAAAATACACATCAAAACAGGGCAAATATGCTTTGTGTGACTATTAGTAATAGGACATTACTAAGTAGTAGAAGCATCAGTAGATGAGGTATGGGACCAACAAGCCAAATTAAAGGAATTTTTCTTTTAGTATGTGTGTTACTTTTCAAAGTCCAATAAACAAATATTAAAAAAAAAAAAGAATACTGTCTTTGTGGGGAGCTAATATATCTTTAAATGAAACACTGACCCTGGAGGCCTGTTATTCCTGTCTACCTCATTGTTCAGTTCTCTAGCTGTACTAAATCCTTCCTCAGATAGTACTATGGGAAATGAAATAACCTCAGTACTCATCAGTTCCTTAATAGTGCTTCCTAAAGCGAGCACTGCTCGAGCTTTGATGGGAAGTTATTTTGCAGAGTCTGGCTTCATTCAGCTTAGATTTTCACTGTGACGTTTCTATTTAGAATAAAGGACACAGTACTTCCTTTCTTTGAAAACAGAATCCACATTGACAGCATAGTCAGGAGCCAGTGGCTTCTTGGAACTACTCAGTGGAGAATGAACTGGGATTAGGAAATTTATAAAGGTTTTATACTCTAGATGGGCATTTTTGCAGTTGTCAAAATATATTAATGATTGAACATAAAATTTTCACCATTGACAAAAACCATTTGTATCTCAAAGCTGGTCAGAGCCAGAATGTGCAAGGATAGTTGTCTGATTTTATCATCATTTACCAATTTCCTGACAGTATTTATTTGCCAGTGAGCATTTAATATGTCCTCAACAAATTAACTATTACTTTTTATGCTAAGTTCTCAAGCTAATGCAGGTTTTTGCTTGCTTCCTCACAGATCTAATTCTACTACATATATGAAAAAAAAAATGGCTGGATGGTGATGGCACATGCTTTTAGTCCCAATACTCGGGAGGCAGAGGCAGGTGGATCTCTGAGTTTGAGGCCAGCCTGGTCTACAAGAGTTAGTTTCAGGGCAGCTTCCAAAGCCACAGAGAAACCCTGTCTCCAACCCCCCCCCCCCAAAAAAAAACAGACTTAAGACACTGCAAATATAATGGGCACTATGTCATCTTCATTTCTGGCTGGTAAATTGCTAACCTGGTTAGTAGAATAAGAAATGACCTATGAGCAGTTTTTTTCTCCTCTAGATAAGGTTTTGCCACATAGCCCTGGCTGGCTTCTGCCTCTCAGGTAAAGTCTTATGTTTTTTGAGACAGGGTTTCTCTGTGGCTTTGGAAGCTTGTCCTGGAACTCAATTCTTGTAGACCAGGCCGGTCTCAAACTCAGAGGTGCACCTCCTGAGTGCTGGGATTAAAGGCATGCATCATCACCATCACCATCACCTGGCAAGTCTTATTTTTAAATTGTGTTTGTGTGCAGGTGCCTGTGGAGGCTAGAAGCTGGAGTTAACAGGCAGTCTGATATGCCTAGTGTGGGAGATGCTGTCTGGGCTCCATTGTTACCCTTTCTTTTCGAAGTTCTTGCTAATCAGTTGTGAAGATGTAGCCATTTAAGATGCCAGTTCAGTTTAGGCTCAAGTTCTTAACTTCCTGTCTTCTGTGACCCACTTAAAGCAATACACACCTTTCTCCACTAAAACCTGCCAGTCCAGTGTACCCAGTACCAGCCTTCTAGGCTTTTTAGGAGTCATTGTTTACCATGTTCATCTTTCTAGAGAAGCCATTTCTCAAAATTTAAAACCTAATTCTCACCCATTCTTAAAATTTTGAAACACTGTAGCATATGGTTTGTGTGTGTGTGTGTGTGTGTGTGTGTGTGTGTGTGTGTGGTGTGTTTGTTGGGGGTGGTCAGCTGTTTTCAAGACTGGGCTGGGGATGAGAACACTAAGTTTGCAACTTTGAATGTCTGGGTTAATAAGAGGACCAGATGGTTTTTATCTCCTGCATTCAATTGTTAGAGGATAGGTATTGGCTAGTTGGAAAGCACTCATTATATGTACAAGCTTCCCCAATTCTGGGTTTTACCTCAAAGTTAGGGCCCCCTTTGGTTTATACCACAAATGAGTGGCAATGAACAGTATGTGCTAAGGCACTGCAGCCCTACCCACTTTGTTTTTCACCATTAGGACAAATGTCAACATAGTTGTTCCAGATAAGCCATGAGATTAAAAGTCATTCCACACTTTGACTATTTTAGGACATAGGTTTATTGCCAAGTTTTCACATAAATACAAGCACAGTAACAAGCCCAACCATGCTTGTAGCTTCATCCATTTATAAAGTGTTACATATACACCTACGAATTATGGATTAGAGTTTGTATCTGTGGAAAAATCTTTGTAACAAGCTACTATAGTGCTCAAAAGAACCACTGCAAGCACTTCTTTTCACCTGGTTGATACTCAGTAATGTCAACTGTATGGTCTCTAAATTTTCTTAACAAGTCCTTCTGAAATACCTCAGGTTTTCAATTTTTAGTTTGAAGCTTGACAGTTTTGCTTTGTGGAACACCAAAAATCTGCATTTAAAATATTCAGTAGCATTCAAAACAATCTAATACTCACTGGAATGACTCCTTTCAAAATGACTCCACAACATAGCTGGTGCCAAAACTACTCAAAGTTAGTGTGTTGCAAAAGACATGCCAAGTCAAATGATCTCTAAAGGCAGTACACATTTCACTTTATAAAAGTTTCTTGACCAATTCTTCCATGTTAGTTTTATATAACACCTTAAAACACAAATGAGATTAGTAGAACAATCATCCTCCTAAAATAAATTCTAAAATAGGAATTTTATAATTTGGAACTTTGGAGAAATGTTTAAAACATTATGCCAATATGTTTATCCTTTATCCTTATGTACAAAGCTACAAGAGTTAAAATGCATGACACACTGCATGGATTATGGAAGGCACAACCTAGAAAGAGTTAATTCATAAACATATACTCCATACCTTAACTACATTAAAAAAAAATCCAAACTGTACAGCAGTATTTAGCATAGTGACAGTATTGTCATCGAGAATCACGTGCCTCTGCTTGCTTCTGAGAATGTAAAAGGCAACATCTTGGGATTAGGAAAATGTGTTGATCTCGAAGACCTGATTCTGCTTAGGTGGCAGGGATACAGCCTTAAACTGTCCCATCCTTAAGGAACAATCTAAGGAGGAAAAACAATAATTACACAATTATCATTCTTAATTAGATTTTAAGAGCCACAACATTCAAGTAGGACCAAATGTGGATAGGTTCCTTGAGATGTTCTGAAACCACTTCAACACTTGGTCAACTTTTTAAATTTTTTCCCTCAGAGAAGCCCAGTAGTCTAGTAGTTACTGTTTTCAAGTTTCTGTAAGTCCATCGCCACCTTATAGTATACTGTATCTAGATTTCCTAAAACATTTCAATCAAAGCAAGGTAGTAAAAATCTGATAGGAACACCAAAAGCTAGACCAATTTCTATCCTTGGCCCCTATCTGCTAGCATATCCACTGGAAGTTGCTAAGTCTCACAGAGCTTTAGTTTCCTCTACTGTACACAGGCTGGTACCAAGACCTGTTATGGTGAGTAGTACTTCATTTGGGATTTTAGTGAAGGGTAAATAAAGACCATCAAGTCTGAGTGAATTAAAAATTCCCCCAGTAGAGGTAGGATTAATTAGGTAACAAAATAATTTTATAAATATACCTGAAAAATGTTACTGTTGCCAAAAGGAAGACCCAAACTTAAAACTTTCTTTAAATAAACTAACACCTAGAAAACAAAGGGTGAAAAAATATCAGGTCAAAATAAAAGGGCCAGTGATTACTATGAAAAGTAGGAAAAATGAGTTTAGGACATCAGAGAAACACAACTCCAATTCAAGCCTAAAGACCACATAATGCTTACTAATCCACTCAAGAATGGAGTCATGAGTATCTTCTGGATAAGTACCCCCTTCAACATATAAACTGGAACACACTATACCATACTACACTACACAAAACCAAGGTCTCAACTTTCAAGGTCAAATGATTGACTCCTAGAGTTGTGACCAGCAAAGTGTTGTATAGTTAGGGGTCTCACCAGTCAAACTAGTCTTTTTCTTGGGATGTTCAACTTCAAACCACAATTATACAGTTACACCAAATATAAGACGTGTAAAAAAAGGCTAGCTCAAAATTGGAAAATTAAAAATAAAACCCACAAACCCTCACCTAACTTGAACATTAAGCACAAATGTTTAACATATACAGCAAGTAAGTATATGAAATCATAAGGCACTACCTGACAAGGAACTAAGTTTATCTAAACCACCAGCCCAAGGCATGCCTAATACAAGAACAGGATAGCTGCAGTGGATACTTCGGGGAAACCCAAAGAAGTGCTTGTTAGTACAGGCAGGGAGGCCTCAGCTTCCTCCATGAAAAAAAGTATTAAGACACCTCAGTTAAGTATTGGATTCCTGCACAATAGGAGCTTTGTCCTATAGTTCATGGACTTTTATCAATTTAACAAATCATAAATCCACATTTGTTTGGTTCCCAACTCTGCTTACTCACTGAAAAACTCCCCATGTCCTTGAAGAATGCAATTTGATGGGAGAAACATAGTATTAGATAAAAGTTGAAGGAAACATGAGGGTGTGAAATTCAACTCTGACTGTAGTTTCTTAGTTGCTTTCTGCCTTGTTTTTTGAGATCTCACCAGTGAAGAGCCTGCCAAGTAACTAAGCTTTTGTGTCCAGTAGGTCCTAGGGATACCTCAGGCATGCCCTAACATGCCCATTTTGTTTTGTTTTGTTTTTTTAATGCGGGCTGCTTACAATACAAACACTTTACTAATTACCATTCAAGCCTCCTTAATATTCCCTTTAAAAGAATCTGACCTGCATTTTGCTTTTCCTTTTCACTCAAGGTTATTTTTTTTTAAGGCGAATTTCTTTTATTGTCTGCATAACAAGATCAGCTTAGAACTGGAACACTTGGCCCTTTCTCTTATTACCTCCTAGTTCAAAATGCTTGTATTTCTTAATAGCCAGCATCCTCTTAGATCTGCAGTTGGGCTCAACACACTCAAGCCTGAGCACAATCTTCTTTGTAGTTCTAGCCTTTTTTCAGAAAATTGACTTACAAGTCTGCCCACCACAGCCACTCTGTTTCCTGTCATAACACCGATTTCTCTGGACATACAAAGAGTCCTTGCCCTTCTTGTACTGTGTCACTTTATGGGGCTGG